TACCAACAAAATGGAAAAGACGATTTCCATTTTTATAAACTAAGAACTGTTTTCAACAATTTTTCACTTTAATGTATACTTTTACATAAAGCATGGATTCATTACTTATGCTTCATGAATATTCTTAAATAATTATTACTTTGTCTATTTGTCACCTTTGTTTTACCCTTTGCATATGCAATGAAAACAACCAGGTTTAAACATTAATATATGTTAGTGTGAATTCTTTTTTTTTTTTTAAGATTTTATTTATTTATTTGACAGAAAGAGAGAGCACAAGCAGGGGGAGCGGCAGAGGGAGAAGCAGACTCACCACTGAGCACTGAGCCCAATGTGGGGCTCAATTCCAGGACCCTGGGATCATGACCTGAGCTGAAGGCAGATGCTTAATCAACTGAGCCCCTGTTAGTGTGATTTCTATGTTAAGATTAAAAAAGTCATATGTACAGAAATATATTTGTTTTTTAGCTGAAATTTTATTTCTTTAAGGGCAAAATAATATAGGAAGGTGTTTTAGATTCTTAAATATTGAAGCATGAAACACTGATCCAAACAGGACCACCATCTACAGATTTTTACAGCTCAAGTATAGCAATGTTTACATAAAGTATTTAATTTACCAAAAACTTCAAAGGTAATTATAGTGAATGAAGGTAAAATGTATAAAATAAGCTATTCCAAAGACAATACATATATAGTTGTAGTTCTTGGAATTAGATAGAGGGATAAACCAATAATATACTTGGATTTTTGTTTTCTCTTAAAAATTATTTACATCTGGTCCTATCTCAACCTTTAGAAAATTCTCATTTTCTATTGATATATACAGCTGTAGCAACTACTCAATTGTCTCTAATTATCAAAAACAACAAGGTTTAAGTATTCATTTCATATTTTCTTGGTAACCACTGCTTTTATTACTCAATTGTAATGAATAGGCACTTGGGGACTTAATATTGAAATTTCACTATCCTCATATATATGTGTTAAATTGGTGTAAATGAATTCAGTGATTCTGTGATGAGTCTTTTGCTTATGTAAAAATGTCCTTTGATTCGTATCAATAATAAAATCATTAAGGAATTTGGGATTCGAATCCCTTACCAGAAATGTGTACATTTCAGGACATTTGGACATATGTAGGCTAAATATAATATCAATAGAAATATAATAGAAATAGAAATATAATATAATATAAATAATGTAAATATGAGCTTGGCTCATATTTAAATACAGTTTTTATTTTGTGAATCTTCAGAACATAAAAATAATTGTTTCCATTCCCACTTAAATTAAGTTCTACTCTTTCCCTTTTTTTGACAGGTTTTTTACAAAGATATTCTAAAATGTAAGTGCATCTAGATTGGTAAAGCTTATAGAGAAGATAGTAGTTGCTTTTCAGTCACAGTTGTCTCATTCTATTATATTTGTTTGCAAAATATTTGTTCTAAAGATTTTTATTGAGAGAGAGAGTGAGAGAGAGCATGAGAGGGGGGAGGGTCAGAGGGAGAAGCAGACTCCCCACTGAGGAGGGAGACCAATGAGGGACTCTATCCCGGGACTCCAGGATCATGACCTGAGCCGAAGGCAGTCGCTCAACCAACTGAGCCACTCAGACGCCCTGCAAAATATTTTAATGAATGATATCTGATATATGCATATGCTCAATGTACCTCCTTACCTTGAATCCAGGGCTAAATTAAAGTTCTGGTTCTTCTTGGATTGTATTGGAGTTGAGGTTAGGATTATATTGCTTTTGCTTTCTCTCTGATCTTGCATTACTTCTTCCCATGAGAACTCTAAAATTATCTCTCAAAGGGACAATGAGGAGCAATGGGAAAAACATCTTATCCTTTATGACAGTAACCTCTGTCAGAAAACCTCTGGTTTTCGAACTGTGGGTTACAGCCTGTTAATCAGTCCTGACATCAGTTTAGTGGGTGATGTCCAGCATCTGTATTAATAAAATTGTGTAAGAAAAAATATCAGAATGCCTCAGAAGTAATAGAGCTAAATATTTTTCTGTTAAACTTTTGTTTCACCGTATGTGTGGACGGGGTGGGGTGGTGGTGCATGTGTGTGTGCACTACACTGTATAAAAACTGTGGATTAATTTAGGTGTTGTGATCAGAAAACTGTAGTCTAATCATAAAGTTATAGTGAATATATTACTCTGGCCACAAGAAACACATTCATAAAAACATACTGGAATTTTCTTACAATTTGTTCAAAGTAGGCACCAACACACCATAAATAAAAATTAGGATACCCAGTCACTCCATCCTCACTGTCAGACTGTTTATGGGTGACTGTGTGAAATTCCTGGCCCAATGAGGACACCATGACTATGGAAACTACATAGTGTACTGAGCTAGCAAACTCTGTAGAAGAGAGGAGAGTGCAGGTGTGATCCAGCCACGGAATTCCTCATCTCGGGAACCCTCTAAGCACCTCTTAGTGCAGACTTCTAACATCACGTGTTCACCAAGTGTTTTTTTGTTTTTTTTTTTTTTTCCTCCTGAGCTGAATCAGGTTTGTTCCATGAGTAAGAAGGCATATGGGAAAATTACATACTTTTTAAAAACAAATCCCCACTCTTGTAAAACTTTGTCATTGTTTACTTGCTCTGTGTCTCCTAACATTTGTCCCTCATATCATATATTCATTTCTAAGAAGCCTTTTTGAACAAATTAGAAAACAGGGTGTGGCACTCATCACACTTTTGTCTTAAAAACAGAAATCACTGTGTTCATTCCATACAACTTTTGCCTAGAATACATATATATATATATATATATCCACCTTCCTTTTGTCATTAATACTCTTTCTCATCATTTTCTAACTTCCATTAACTGCTGCAGAGGACAGGGATCATCTTTTAACTCATTTTTTTTTAAGATTTTATTTATTTATTTGACAGAGAGAGACACAGCGAGAAAGGGAACACAAGCAGGGGGAGTGGGAGAGGGAGAAGCAGGCTCCCCGCTGACCAGGGAACCCGATGCGGGACTCGATCCCAGGACCCTGGGACCACGACCTGAGCCGAAGGAAGATGCTTAACCGACTGAGCCACCCAGGCGTCCCCATCTTTTAACTCACTTCTTAAAGCATTTTGGACAGTTAAAAATGCTTGTAATGAAATTCTAGTAGGAAGAGAAAAATGACACCATTCTATCTCAAAATCATATATTTCATTTCCCCCAAATTATATTTTTTCGTATGTTTTTCTAAGTAGGATTTTATATACCTGTATGTTCCTAAATGAGTTTTCTTCCAGACACTTGCACAAATGTGACCTGTAAAAGTGAATACATTGTCCTTTTGCCTTTTTGCTGCCTCCCTCCAAAATCCCTGTTATGCTCCCCTCTTTGGAAGGCCAAAACAGCAATGCCTTTGAGTGTTTCTCCCCTGGGAGTTTTTTGCATTTCTTTCTGTGGAAGTCTAGAGAGACAAATGTCCCCTTAATGACTTGGCTGCCTGTGCAGTCTCTGTCACTGGCGTCTATGGCCTTCTCTTATACAAAAACAGATCCCATTACACTGCCCGTCTTGAGAAGTGCCCCTTCTGCTAGGGTTTGGAATGCTCCTGGGGACAGTGCAGAGGCCAGTGACCTGCATCCTTAGTCAGAGGCATGTCTGACATTCATCCCAGGCTGTATTTTCACTTGGGGATGGACTTTAGGTATTCTGTGAAACATCTTCCTACCTATCCTCTATCCACACTAGACTCTCTCTTCCTGTCCCTACCTCTGTACCCCATCTTCTGTCTCCTGGCCTCCCTTGTACGTCTGCCTCCCAAATCCCTGAGGCTCTCTGTCAGCAGCTGGCATGGCACCAGACATTTCTAATCTACTTTCTCTCTTAATACCCTACCTATTCTGCTTTATGGTCTAGACCTGAAAAATAAACCTGGGACAATCTGGTAACATATAGTGGGGTGTCCTTTTCAGGTATATTATTTTCATTTTTACAGATATCCTGGAGATAGAACATTGGTGGAATTTTGAGTAATCTGGTGGTACATGATAGAAGTTTTAATCAAAAGCTGCCTTCTGTCTTTCATTTTTTCCTCATTTAATGTTTCCCACAAATATTTTTTCTGTGATTCTCAATTAATCCCATGTGAATGTCTACCTTTTCATCCTTTGCTTAAAACCAGGGTTCCTGTATATTTGTAAACTAATAGAATTATTCTCCTATTACATTTGGAGCGAGCAGGAAAAACTTGCCAATTTAGATGACTAACTAGTTGAGTTAAAAAAATTTTAAAAAGTAAACAACCAGTTTGACTTGGTTCTTGTGATGTATCATGATAGACAACATTTATGCAGTGCTTATTATAAGCCAGATACTTTATTAATATCATTTTATTTAGCACTTAGAGCAACCATGAGAGGTATGTCATGTTACTATGTCCATATTACGGATGAGTAGACCAAGACCGTAGCGCTTATCAATAGATTGATACAGATAAGAGTGGTAAAGTCAAGTTTTGACATAGATGATCTGTCAAACTATTGTGTTCCTTAAAAGCAATCAAGTCAGTTAAAGTTGAGAGCATGCAACATTTTTTTTTTTTACTTTGCAGATGCACACCAGCTTTGAAAATGAGCACTCACCAAATCATGAATCTGACTTTATTCCGAAGGGTAGTATATAACTTCAACTTCTCCTTCTTTCTCTTTCTTTCCTGACTGAACTGTTGGAGAGTGATATAGAATGCTGATTTCTCTTTCTTTCCTTCCTTTTTTTTTTTTTAATCTTCCTTTTTTTCTTTTCTTTACTAAACTGTTGAAGGCTGACAAACACTCTTGGTTGGCCACCCACTTTGGTTTTTGCTCCCCTGGGAAGGATAAGTAAGGCACCTGAGGACCCGAAAGAAGAATCGGAGCTGTCTGCCCTCAAGGAGTGTACCCCTAGTCAGATGAAAGAGAGCAAGTGTGCTTTTTGGAGCATGTTGCACTCCATAAAGACCCGTGTGTTCTCTTGTCTCTGCAACAGGTACCATTTCTGTCAACACCCTGCGCACACCCTACACGGCGCCTGGCGAGAGCGAGATTCTGGACCTGGATGATGAGCTGTACCTGGGGGGCTTGCCGGAGAACAAGGCTGGCCTCATTTTCCCCACCGAGGTGTGGACTGCCCTGCTTAACTACGGCTACGTGGGCTGCATTAGAGATTTGTTCATCGATGGCCAGAGCAAAGATATCCGGCAAATGGCTGAAATTCAAAGTACTGCTGGAGTGAAGCCCTCCTGCTCAAGGGAAACAGCAAAACCGTGCCTTAGCAACCCTTGCAAAAACAATGGCATGTGCAGGGATGGGTGGAACAGATATGTCTGTGATTGTTCCGGAACAGGCTACCTTGGCAGGTCCTGTGAGAGAGGTAGGATTCCAAAACCCAAGCAGCTGACTCCCCTGAGACGAAAACGTGTATTAAATGTTGATCTCAGACCTTGAACTGACCATGGGAGCATAATGCATGCTCTGCTGAGGTAAACGCCTGCGGGACTAACAGCCACGCCGGGCATACTACTGATGAGCCCTCCATGATTTTCAGAGGGGCTGATTCTGGGAAGACACAGAGCTTGAAGTATATTGCAGAAAGAAATATTTGAGTCTCCCGTATCTTCTAGAGTATGGGCCTAAGACGTATAAGCGATAGCAACGGCTGTCTCTTTTGCCCAGTTTTTAATTTCAGGACCCTAGAAAGTAAAGAAGGTATGAATTAGAGATATTTATGGCATCCAGTGCTAATATCCATGGCCGGAAAAAGAGCATGTGAGGCAACTTCCCTAACACTATGGCGTGAGACTTAAGTTAGCCTGTTCACTTCACTTCGGTCCCCTTCCCCAAGTTTGAAATTTAGAAAGTAAGATGACTTTCAGGCATCTGATTTACACAGGCAGTTTCAGAAGTGCACCCTAATTTCAAAGACACTTACCTTTGCCAAAGACCTGAGTGATCACAGAGGATGTATATCCCTCTATTGTATTAAGGCTCGGTGTGTCTGCTGAGTCTCTGAGTAGCTGCCTCCCTTTCTTCTCTAGTAGGAAGCACAGCCACATTTCTTTTTTCTTTTCCTCTCCCATTAGAAGGAGAAGAATAAGGATTAGAGGAAGAAGGAAGAGTGAAGACAAACCACCGTTTGTCTGCAGACTAAAGGGGGAAGAGCAGAGAAACAAAGTCCTCCCGTCAACCTAAGATGTCAGATAAATTCTTTAGTCACTATACCCATTGCCACTCATTTTCAACAATGGAACCAAAACATCAGTATGGAAAACTATCGATGAGTTGTTCCATTGTCCTCTTATGCTTCAAATAACATTGGTGCGTTAGACATTTAGCCTGAAAGCACTTGGCACGTATTGTTTATAAACCATGTACATTTAGTCTTCTTTCCCCCTTTCCATCCTGAAATAGTTTAATTTGTTTAAGCTCACACTGCCTAGAGAACAAAAACAGTGATTTTCTAGAATCCAAAGTTGAGATGTGACTTCGGTTATTTGTCTTAATAAAGAGGTCCAGCTTATCAGTTCTATTATTAACATTAATCAACATAAAAATAATAATAGTTTAATAATCTAATAGTGATCTTAAATTACCAACCAAAACACTGCCACTGTTCTGCACTATACAGCTGGCTAGGTCAATAGATGGGTAAGTATTTTAATCACCTAGATTCATTCATTCTCCTAGTACCGAACTGCAATTCCTATCAATTGTCATTAGAGGCTAGCTGTTTCTGTGTAGTTTCACTTGTAAGGTGTATACGCTCTGTGAATTCCCTCTTCTCATTTCCCCCTCTATTTCAGTTCATTTGTTTCAATAGTTTGGTCTTTAGAAACTGGCAAAAGGGGCCAACAACAACCACCAAAAAGGCAACCAAGTTTGTAAGATATATTACAAGTTAGACAAAATGGGAGATTCGCAGACCTGTAGGATTTAAGCTGCTGTTTTCTCTTTAGTCACTCAGAGAGCTGCCAGTTAGTCGATGCCTCCTGCTTATGTGAAGCTAGAAAAGGATGTAACCCAACTGTCTCAGATTACAAAAGCCTTCAGTTAAATATGCGTGGTGTACCACCCTGTGGCAAGATCCCGTTACTACATATGGCAGAAATAAAAATAGAAATAGTCAAGCTTCCTGAGCCAGAATGAGGGAAAGGGAATATTTACATTTTGCAATAATTAGAAGGAGGGGTGGCAAGCATATGTAGATTTACAAATGAGAATTTAATAGCAAGCTTCATCACTGGGATTCAGCATACATTTTCCTCTGACAGGTGGCTAGAAATTTCTGCAGATTTCTTTGTCTCCAGGTTGGTTGTGTGTTGAGGAAAACAAATGGTCATTTTTGTGTGATTTTTGTTTCCGGACTACCGAGTGTATTGTTAGAAGTCTTTGTTTTTCAGAATTAATTTTCTTGCTCACATTATGGTATCTCCTGAGAACAGTGGTGACGTGGGATGCTTGTCATGCTCAATACCACAGAATTTGGCTTCTGTCCAGTTCCCAGCTATGCCCTAGTTCAGTCAACATAAGATCTGCCCAACCCTTGGGCTTTCCAATTCAAAAGAAAGAGCTTTGACTGTGGTTCTTCTCCAGATACACTCTGATCACATAAGACTGTTAATCACCTAAGAGTTGGTTGACAACTTCTGAAATTAAAAAAAATGAATGTACTAATAGTCTCTATCTTACTATTACTGAGCAATAATTGGTAATTTATAAAGATTATTATTCATAGTAATTAAAAAGTGTGTTCAAGTCCTTGGATAATGCAGCCTGAGGAATAATATCGCAGTCACATTACTACAGAAAATTTTTACTCTGCATTAAGTAAGCAAAGGAATTTAGAAGAGAGAACAGAGTGTTTGCTGACTTAGGCAACTAGGAAAATAGTATTTTATGTGTATCGATCCCATAAGGACGAGTAATATAGAAATAATGTGCAATTGAATATAAATTCAGCATTTTCCTTCCCACTTTATTTTTAATAAAGCTGAGAATTTGTGGAGACTTACTTGGCCTTGTAGAAATTATTCTTGGTTATGTGTATATGTTGTAATCAGAGGTCTGCTTTATACTTGTTTGTTAAAACTCTAACAGATGGAGGGACAGATGTCAGAGCAATATAATTTGGCTCCCTGTCTGATTTTCATCGTTGCGCACAATATGACTGCCTTTCGGCAAAAGTGAGCACAGGTGTACCCTTTAGACGGCAAGAAGGAATAATACAGAAAAGTAAATTTATCAAACTTAACGACAAGGGGGAAGGAGATGCAGGAGACAAAGCTGAAACTTTTTTCTCCCCCTCTGGGAAGTATTGTATTGGAATTAGCCTTTTAAAGTACTCTTTTGTGTTCTAAGTGGTAAAATAATTTTACTAATGTGAAAGGATGCTGCCAGATAGCATAACCTTCAAATGTCAGAGTGTTGTTTACCATTTATTTGGCAACTCTAGACTCCAACCCTGTACATTTTCCATTTCTTGTCTAATTAAACATTAACTCTAATTATGAGGAATCATTTAGGTGTTCATTTGTCATTTATCAACAAGTTATTTTCACACTGAGAATTATTTAAAATGTACTCAAGTTTTATTACTTTACTATGTTATTTCATTCCTGCAGTTTTTTGGAGAATGTTACAGGCTAATGATTCTGATTATTTTTCTACTTTGTATTGTATTTCATACTATGTTTATGATCCATTGTCAGTCATCTCTGTTTCTGAAAGGATATTCCCCCTCTTTAGTTTTTAATCAAATTAAGCTGCATTTTATAGAAGATTGTAAAATCATTTTTAAAATGTGATTATTGAATAATAGACACTAGATTTATAGACTAAATAAATAAAACAACTAACAACTAACAACATTTCAGTTCTTTTATCAATATGATACCAAAGAACTGAGCAATTGATAATGACTTTTAAATGTTTGTTCAGGTGTTTGTTGCTCTATAGATATGGACCATGATTAGCTACAGTTTAGGCAAAGAAATACTAAGGATCGAGTCTCCTTCAAGATTATACAAGAAACACGTTTTTTCTAGAGTTCGCCATAGCTTTACAATCATGCTTTAATTATTTTTTTTAATTAATTTATTTATTTGAGAGAGAGAGCATGGGTGCAGGAGGAGCAGAGGGAGAAGGAGAGAAAGAGAATCTCAAGCAGACTCCCTGCTGATCATGGAGCCCGACATGGGGCTTGATCTCACAACCTTGAGATCATGACCTGCGCTGAAATCAAGAGTCAGGCACTTATCTGACTGAGCTACCCAGGTGGCCCTTAATTATTTTTTGAGTAAACTACTACTAGCTTTTCTTTTAGGAAACTTACCTAATAAAAATATGTGGTACAGTATAGAACCACTATATTTTAAAAGGATCATATTTTATTTTCTCAAAGTCACGTCAGTGCCTAGCCACAGGACTGGTATTTTGATAAATGGACATGTCTCCTAGTCTGTCTGTGGCACATTGTGTCCTTCAAAGTAGACTTCAGCAAATATTTTGTTCACCTACTTTACCAAAATTGGATTCCACTTAACAATAGGCAGAGTAAATACTTAACTTCTTTAGTGAGCATTTGTGTAAGCTTGATATCCAAACTGAAATAAGCTTTCTCATATATCTTCAGTATCAGATGCAATCATCAATTCAGTTAAGTATGTACTGAGACTCTTCTACGTGCCTGGCCCTTTATAGGGCACGCAGCTGCTGCTAGAACAATGCATAGGAGAGCCTAACCCCTGCCCTCAAGACACTTATATTCTAAAGGGTGAAGCAGAAAACAGTATGCAAACAAATAAGAAAATGTAATTGTGAAAAAAAAAATGAGTAAGTAGATATGGAATGACTGGAAGATGGATCAATGGGGTGCTTGGAGCAGACATCCTGAAGTCACATTTGACCGGAGACCTGAATGCCAAAGGAACCAGCCATGTAGAGATTTAGGGTTAAGCCTGTTAAGACAGAGGGGTCCACAAGGGCAAGTACTTGAATGAGAGGTGAAATCAGTGTGGCTGGAGTTAACTAAACAAGTAGTGGAGATGCTGAAAGCTGAGGCCATTGAGAAGGGCTGGGGCCAGATCCCAGAGAACCTTTTAGGTAAGAAAGGAGTACAGCTTTTATTCTAACTACAGTGGAAAACTATTGGTGGGAGGTGGGCAGACATAATTTAAGCAATGTAGGTATATAATCTGATTTACTTCTTTAAAAGTTTAGCTTGGCTGCTGTGTATAGGAAGAAAGAGTAGAAATGGGGAAACTGCTGAGGGAGCTATGATGGTAGTCTAGGTGGGAGATTAAAGCAGAGTCAGAGATACTTTAGTGATCAGTGTAAGATGTGATCAATTCAGGAAATGGATTGGAATTAGAGCCTACAAGACTTGTAGACTTGCACATAGATTGGGCATTGTGGAGAGTTTAAGAGAAAAATCAGAAAAGCTAAGTTCTGAACAAAGGGATTATGCCATTTACTAACATAGAGAACATCAGTGAAGGAGCATGCTGAGTTGGTTCATTTGGAGGGTGCCTATAGTATTCAAATCAGAAATTGGGCAATGGATGAAGGAGCTCAGGAGAGAAGTCAGGCTGTTAATAAATATTAGGGAGATTTGACCAAGATCCCTTAAGTCAAGGGGTAGATGAAAGAGAAGAGCCCCATGAAGAGAGACCTGGAAGGAACCTTCCATTCTTTATCGTTCCGGATGTGCATTCAGTCCCATGATGACAACAACTAATGATTAAAGTCTGTCAGAAGCAATATTAGACTTTCCTGACTTTTTGAAAGACAAACTTGCAAAACCACAACTCCAGAATATAGTCCTAATAATAAGCAACTGTATCACAGTTGCAATTAGTAAAGCTAATTGTTGTGCCATGTAAGTGGGCAAGATAATGAGAATTTCCCAGTTTAATTCCAAGTAGTTTTTCTTTTATTAAATGGTATTCTGAGTTGTTAGAACCAATGAGAGGGCAGAATTACTCATACTTGTTTTGCAACGTTCCACCACCATATGGTGTTTAACATTAAAGGGTTCTATTTCTTACAGCAGGCAGTCTGTGATCAACAGTTTCTGCTGTCCTCTTCTTTGTGTGTTTAATACAGTATTAAGCAACTTCTCTCTTAAAGCAGTCCATTTTGGTTTAGTACCACACAGCCACACAAGCTCTGCAGACCCACCCCCATGTTTATCCAATATTACCAAGGTGTATAGTTATTGACTTTTTGGTGATAGCTTCACATTTTCAGAACACCAGGGTAGTGCTTAGAGGAGATGATTTCAGTTACTCCTTACCTGTAAATAAAGCTTAAAATGAAGTTTCAGTTTGTGTCCTTGTAAAAATCAATTACCGTGTTAAGCAAAGTGACTCAGAAGAAGCATCACCTGTTGATTGGACCTACTATTTTTTCTTCTCTTTGAACATCACCTTTGGTAAAATGTTGACCTTATTCCTACATTTAAGTCATTTCTTTTTCTTTCTTTTTTTTTGATCCTATGAAGGCAAATATTGTGAAAGAAGATAATGATAGTAACTTCTCTTAGAATCATGGACTTTTAGGGTAAGCGAAGGCCTGAGAGATGCTAGCACCTCCTCATTTTGTTGATAGAAGATTTGGAACTAAGGTAGATTTTGCAGGGCTAGTCAGTGGCCTAGCCATATAGAAACACACATGAAGTAATTGCTAGTGCTTCATCCCAGGCTCATGCTGTGGCTGCAGACAAAAGAATGTGATCTCTGCCTTTGAGAAGGGAGACACATACATAAACATCGATGAACCAACACGATGAATGCTATATAGAAAGGGCTATGCGATCCAAAAGCGGAGTAGTGCCCTCTCTTGTGCCTGTACTTGAGCAGAGACTTCACAGAAGTCCTCTTCACTGTGACTTCTCTTCTTGGTTTAAAAAAAAAAAAAAAAATTGCTCATTTCTGAGGAAGATGAGCTGGGTTTGTAGTGTCGTATTCTATCTGGAAGCCATTAATGGGTGGCGCTTTTCCCTTTCAAAGTATTAAAGGTACCAAACTGACCAAGAACTTTGATATTCATTTCCCATCCGTAGAGGCAACGGTTCTGAGCTATGATGGGAGTATGTTTATGAAAATCCAGCTCCCAGTGGTGATGCACACAGAGGCCGAGGACGTGTCCTTACGATTCCGATCCCAGCGTGCGTATGGCATCCTCATGGCAACCACCTCTAGAGACTCGGCAGACACCCTCCGCCTGGAGCTGGATGCAGGGCGTGTGAAACTGACGGTCAATCTAGGTAACAACTCGCCTTCCCCCATAAAACTAATACTTTTCACTTTTTGTTCAGTTTTGCCTGCAAACATTTACTGAGTAGCCTGTTTTGCCATGGAAAGTTAAAACACTTAATGGTCTCATTTTCATCATTTAAATTAATTTAGGTTTTGGGGGCATCTTTTAATTGTTTCATTTTGTTTAACATAATTTACCATTTTGTGATTTCTACCACTGAGGATTCTTAAAAGGGAAGCCGTATGTATCAATGAGGTCAATTGAAAGTATAAATTGTTAAGCTTGAAGAGGCCCCAAATAATTTCCACTGTTACGTTTACTGATACTCTGATTTACTATAGGGGATACCCCTTCAGATGAATAAAATCCATCTGCTTTTACTTTAGATAACATCTGCGCAAAATATCAAATTTCTGCTCCGTGATGTAGATCAACAGTTGCTTTTACTCTACTCCTTGGGCTTCTCCTTTGACTAGTCACCTTTGTGGTACCCCATCTTTTCTGTTTGGAAATACTGTGTGGTGATATCTTGCTACCAAACAGCAATCCACAACCCTTCAATGCCCAAAGACTGCGGCCCGTAGCAAACAGCCATGAGAACACGAAAACACAGGCTCTTCTACAGAGAAATAATGCTTTCCTGCTTCATTGTAGCGTTAGGGGAGAGTCACTACAGTAAAACCTCACAAAGCTGTATGAAATATGGGGGAAGGGTAGGCCGAATTAAGAGTCGGAATTGTAGACTTAAAAAAATACACAGTTTTGTTTCCGATTACATTCCAAAACACAAATTGATAGCTAGGAAGGCTTCTTAAGGAAAGGTCTTAGGAGGCTGATTTTAATGGGTGGATAAGAATTATCAGTCATTAGGGTGTTGTGTCATGCAAGTCGTGCCATCAGTATACAGGGAAGTCCTGGCATTCGGTTTTCTTCCTGAAGCTGATCTTCTACAACTTGTTTTGTTTAATTTTTCTCAGGCAATCTCTGTTGGTAAAGAATTATAAATATTCTGCCCAATAAGTTTCATTATTATCATTAGCTCCAAGAGGAGTACAAATTAATGAGGTTTTACTGTATTTCCTGGAAATGCTAAACACACACAAAAATAAATTAATGGAGAAAGAACAATAAAATTTGAAACACAGATTGACACGAAGAGTAGCAAAATGTGATGAGGTGAGGCATTTGTGGAAACTCTACCTACATTTTCAAATTGTGCTGGGCAGAATGGTAGCTCATAAAATATAAAATTATTGCAGTGTTAGCTTATTGCATACAATTACATTAAATTAATTACATTCAATTAATATTAGTTAAAGCTAAATAATAAGGGTGGTTTTTAAAGATCACTGAAGAACGCACTGCACTGTCATTTACTGTTCTGTTAGAGTTCCCTCTAGTGACAATGATAGGTTACTACAACAATTCAAAGAAAATTGCCTACTCGCAGTAAAGGGGCTGCTAGCCAAAGTGGAAACACTCATGGGAATTTTCCAACAGCAAAGCATTCTGTGGAAAGAGTTGTGTAGGTGCTGATCCTTGGCTGTTTGCAACCACTTTTCTGATGCGGTTGACGACACATGACAAACTCAGCTATATGGAAACAGAATCTAGGTTTCTATTTTTCATGTTCCCCAAAGGCATTAATTAAATACAGCAACGAAAACCAACAAATATGTATCTATACATAAAATAAACATAAAACATCCCACACAGTCCTTTAAAGACAACCCTTATTATCACAGTCTGTGTTATTCAGATCAGACATTCTGTTCTTAGAGAATCTGTTTATAAAGAAGGAAGTGTAAGAAAAGGAAGATCAATACCAGTGTTAACCATGACACTTAGTACATAGAGATAACACTGTTTGCTCCAAGAGAGGCATAGGCTCATGTGCTCTGAAGAATGACATTACTCCTTAGCCACTTGAGGCTTCTAAAGGAAAATACAGTTGTTTCTTACTTCTTCCAATTAATACAAGGCATGGAATCCAGCCAGTATCTGGCTGTTACCTTTTTTGCCTCAGCCAATGATAATAATAACAAAAATAAAAAATACATTAGGGTGAGATTAGAATAACTTCAACTTGCTCTCCATTTGACCACCACAATTCTCAAGAGTTCTGTTGGCCTTTGCGGGATATTAGACTCTGAAGGTCCAAGATGTCTGAGCCTAGCTGGGCTTGCACTGTACCCCATTGTGACGGAGCACTTTTTAATTATGCTGAAAACAATGATAATGTTCTTTCACAGATGGGGAGAAAGTCGCAGCCACTCTAAGCCAAACATCTTTGACAGTTAACAACTCTTTCTTTCACTTAGATTTGTCACCATGTAGCTTTGTTTGAATTGGCCATTTAAAAACAAAAACAAAAAACAAAAAAAACTTTCTATCGTTGTTTCCAATGTGAAGTTTTATTAACAATGAATCTGGGTTCTAGAAGTATGTAAAGAATACATGATATGGACTGGCCATATTTGCATGTGTCTGTCCCCGGAAGGGTGGACTGTGATTTTATTGGATGTCTGCAGCTATTACCTTGAAGGATAAATTTTCATTTTTCATCTATTCTTCCCCATCTAGATTGTATCAGGATTAACTGTAATTCCAGTAAGTGCCAATTCAAAATTTTTAAAATGTTATTCCTCCATTATGATGTAAGCTAGTAAGGAAAAAAAAAATGAGAGCAAGAGAAAGACGTTTATCAAACTCATGAATTCACTTTTGAAGTATACCAGTCCATCATCTGGGTTGTAAAAATTCATTTTGAAATCTGTCCAGCTGAAAACTTTCCTGCTATAGTTCCTACATCTAAGTGGGAAAAGAGGTGACAAATATTTTAGGGTAGAAGGTGCACACACCTCTATAGACCTTTGAATAAGGCAAGTAGCATTTGTATTTTGGCTGATCTTGGACTCCAGTAGCTCTCTTCATCACCAAATTAGGAAAACAATACTGTGGGTCTGTTTCCTTCACTTTCTGTTTTTATCTCTTGACTCAAAATATAGAAAAAAACTGAATTCCTTTTATTTTGAGAACTACTATCAAACTCTTCTAAATTCAACCAAAATTTTACTTAGAAAAATGTATTTTCCAATGTTATATGTATACATATAAAGAAAATTACTTGTCCAAGAGTTTTTTTCTTGTTCATTAAGAGTATTTACATGATGAATTTTTACATCCTCATCACATATCTGCAAAAATAATCAAAACCCTTCAAATCTGTGATATGCATGCCAAATGATGAATCAGAAAAGATGCATGGACTGAGTTTTATTTGACTATGGACTAGAGAACCTGAAAGGATATAAGGACTGTGATTTTATTTTGAGTTGTAGCATTACTTTAAGGATAAATTTATTTTATTTCTTTATGTAAATGTTCAGGTTTTTTCCTTTCCAGTTTTGCTGACCACATTAAGGAATCTCCTCCAGTGATACCAAAGTTGTTAGCTATGTAAATAAAATGGTTCTAACAAGGTTCTAATCTCTCATTGTTATAGTCAATGAGAACAAGCATTTTCTATATCCTTGGAAAATGCTGAATGTGAGTTGATGAAGTCTACTCCCAAAACCATTGGCTGTTTTCACAAATAGCTATGTCATCCTCTGAGGAACAAAATGATGGTCTTAAACATATAAAACAAGAAGTTTTACTAATGAAATACATACTACTTTGAACACCATGCGTCTTAGAACTCAGATTTGTCTTCGAATATTTTAATATTCATTTTAAAGTAACATAAATGTGAATCTTTCCAATCATAGCAATAAGAAGGTAACTGAATCATGACTTCTGAAAAATTAAATTGGTAAACTATCATACAAGGTATTAAACATCATCTTGAACAGAACAGTTCCTGAAATAATCTCTCAAAGCTCTCACACAAGTGGAATTTTTCAAGTTTACATCACCTCCTATCAAACCCCATCCCACACTTCCTGAGAAGGAGCACAGTTTTTGCGATTCTCACACCACAGTCCAGTTTTCTTTCATCTCTGAGGCACTGATGCGGGCAATGTGGCAGTCACGAAATACTTTCCCAAAGCTAGACTTGTGCCTTAATGCAGTTATAGATGTTCTTGATACATCCTGAGTCTTAGAGAATAATGGGAGGAAAATCCTCCTTTCTAGACTCCTGTTTTATGTACTCTTGTTTATTTATATTAAGCATACAATAAAGCATGAGTTTTTAAATTTACAAAATGTAACTATATAAACTCTAGTATTTGGAATTCTACAATGGGAATTAACCAAATGAAGTGTGATGCTGTGTTTTCTGCTATACCAATGAAATATATATTTATAGTCTAATTACCCTTGTTAGACACTTCTCTTCAGTTGGCTTATATTACGAGATTCTAATATTAAGCACAGTCTTTTTTCTCTGGATATTCCACAGAATAATACCTTTGAGGACAAAGGTTTTTGCTGGTTAGTGAAATTTTTCCCTTTTTAAGGAGTATGCGTTACATGTAAATTACTTGAATTAAATGAATGATTGTGAGCTTTCAGTGCACGCCTCGGACAGGACTGCAAATGCCTTAACTTGACAGCAGTCACTGGAAAGAACATTCGATGCGCAGGTAACGCTTTCATTTTCTTTTGCCTTTATTTGGGGAATAGTGGGAAGATGTGGCAAGAACCCCAAGTTCCATCAAGAATTCATGTTATTACTCAAAGTTAGGAGAGAGAGGAATTTACATATCAAATAATGCAAATCTAACTCACAGGGATTAAATAAGCAGAGATTTCCACCTGGAGTGCATTTCCTCCCCCATAAAAATATAAATTGAAATTATCTGTATCTCAGTATAACTTGTAGTTTGAGTGACTGATTTATTACATTCATCCCCTGTGGACTTTAAGTTCGTCTGAAACCGAGATGAATGTACATTTGTTAAATCACAGCCATCTACCATCTACCACCGTCTCTAAAAATTATATCATAGCTAAGATATCAAAGATACCTCAAGTGATATCTTTAAGAAAATTTCCACAGCAAATATACAAACTATAACATAAAAGATTATCTTAGGTTGAGAATTAATATTAAACTCTAAATTATTAAGGTTGGATGGAAACATTTTCAAACTTCTCAAACTTACTCAGAATTGCTCTGCTATTTCCTTTGGTGGCTCCATCCTTCTTCATCCACGCCCCTCAGTGTAGAGCAGATGTTACCTGATAAGAAAAAGAAAATATATATGGTATCAGACTATCCAATCTTTGCCCTTGAAGAATAGGTAGTGGGTGAAGAGGGAAGATGATCTAACTTCATGTACTCAGACGTGTGGGACCATCAGAGATGGTAGGTGCATTCCTTTGTCAGCCATTTCTGTTTGAGTAGTGGTAGATGCAGCAATAGAGTCTTCAGGGGAAGACAGCCTTTTGTTTGGGTTCCTTGGAGAAAGGGTGGATTTGAATTCCAGAGAGCATCTCTGGCAGATTCTTTCTTGCCACCATTTTCCCCCCTCATAGGAAAAGCTGTCAAGAATCTTAAAATGGAAAGAAAGCCTGTTTTCATTTAAAAATCAAAAGCTTATTTTCATGTGTGGAGAGGGTACTTTTTAAAAAAGAACCTTCTCTCTGAATAGTGGTCATCTCAGTGTCAAAATGTATGCTTTGATCTTTCAAATTACAAATGGGATGTCTCTGCACACAGTGTCAGACCAATCCCAGCTCTCTGACATCCATTAGCTTGTATCATTGCTAAAATATGTTTGTTATCTGCAACTTGGAATTAAATTAAGGTCAGTTTGTGCAGATTCATGGCCTGGAAGGTGAGCATGGAAGTGTGTTATCTCACACTCTCCATTCTCCTCTATCCATGATAGAAATAAAGGAATAGTCAGATTCCTTGTGCCTTCTCAATCGATATTGCAGTATTGAGAGAAAAGTCTGCCATCATAAAATAATTGTGTATGGAAGTTGCTTAAAGAACTACCATCTTTTAGAGCATATCATTTCTTCTCTGGACAGTATTTCATAAAGGTAGATGAGAAAGGAGTCTAAAGTCACATTCTTCTAACATAAAGAGAAAAAAATATTTGAATTAATGAAAAAAAGACAAGTTGTAGATTATTTTACAAAAAATAATTATTGTAGAAATTACTAACTAATCATTAACAAGTTATCACCGAGAAAATCCAAATCAGATTGAGTAGTACTTTCCTGACTGACACATGAATTATTTGCATGAAAAGGTGTGTCTGACCATCTCTTCCCTAGGTTCATATTAGTGGACTTAATACATCTTTTAAGAACTATAAAGATTTCAAAGGAAATTTTCTAATCCTTATGAAATTATCTCAAATCCATTATTAGTTGGATCTGTACTGGCCAGCATTCTTACTGTGTATTCTCTTTGTCTGCCAAAGTACATAGCCTAATATCTTGGTTAACTCTGAGGTAGAGTTACCGAGACAGTCTGAATCTTAAATTTGGTGTCCAGTAGTTCCCTACAATACTCCCAAACTCATTAGGCTATGTATTTCTCTATAATTTTTTTCTGAAGACTTGGATTTGTAGTGACATATTGCATCTTTAAATGATCCCAAATTTTATTCTTTCTCTCTTCTCGTTACCTTAAAATTTGTTAGTGCTATAATCCTTAACAGTTTAAATACATTGGGCATTTGAAAACAAAATGTGTTCCTATCAAATATAGATGAGTCCTAATTGTCCTGTAAATAACTAAATATGTTATGGATTCAGGGAGACTTTTATGCTTACGTTTTTGTTAGTATTTCTTTCTTTGCTTTCTTTTATTTATTGGTTTCATTGGTTGCTTTGTTTGTTTGTTTTTATCTTTTCAAATCAATGACATAATTACAGAATGTCCTTCTTGCTCACAGGAAGGTTTGGGGCCACCTCTGCATCCACATAAAAAATTGATTTTAATATAAACTCATGATCTCTGATGTTTGTTTTGCTTGTTGGCATTACTTTGGATTCTTTATGCCTTGTGTATGTGTCTCTTCTCCCGCCCACCTGATCTTTCTTCCTACCAAGATGTACTCTCTTCCTCCCCACTTCCAATATTGTTTCCTCCTGTTCTGTTTCCTCTCGTTTTCTTACGAGAATAAAAACTCTCTGGGTTGACAAAATATTTTAGTAGGTAGACCCTCCAACTATTTTTGGCTTCTCATAGAAAATGGTTTCTCTAGTGCAAAGACGGCAAAATTGCAGATCACATTAATGTGGACAGAATGTCAAGGGTTGAAGTTCAGCTCCTTTTATTTGCAGTCCAGTGTCTAAAGCATCAGAGAGAAAGAGAATGTGAGGCCGAGTACTTAACCTCACTTTGCACTTGGACAGAGTGAAGAAACACTCCAAGTAGTATGTTATTGGAAAATGTACTGTGATGGATATCTGGAGTGGATAATAAGATCTTTGTATTATCATTTTATTACCAGAATGAAAAGATCAACTGGATATTAGTTATCACCCATTTTTTTTTATGTAGTAAAAATGGAAAGCAATAAAAGAATGCAAAATGTCAAACAGTGGCACTTAAGCCATATTAGATTGCTTTGATCAGACTGCCGTTTGGCAGGCTCCTTAAAAAGATAGGAGGAGATTTCTGGGGGCTGGCTCTTGTTAAC